CCCTAGGATTTTAAGATTAAAATTAAAAGATTACTCTATCTGCTTCTAGGTGACTAGATTGGTTACATACCAGAGCTGCTGAAGCCACAGACAAAAAGGAGAAACTAATCTGCAAAAAGAAAAGGAAGAACAAAACAGACACAGAAAGAACAGAAATGAACATCAGAGAGAAAGATCTGTTAGTATTTGAAACTTTGATTTCACCTCTTTTCAGAAGTTCAGCTCTGTCCCTACCCTTGAGCTTTCTGAAAAATCCCAAGAAAGTTTTTTTTTAATACTTCTTTAAAAGAATTATTTTATTCAACTATTTATTTATTTATCTACTTGCGCTGGCTCCAGTGACTTTCTGTTACTACAACCAAAAGAGCATCTCTAATATAGACAGATGGGAGACAATATCTACGTCCCATGGGTTTTCAGGCCCCAGAAGAGACAGAAAGGCTGGAGGATGGCAGACGAACTCTAGGTTAAGTCCAGAGAAGAAGCAGGCTAAAACAGGCCCAGATATATCTGGCTATCCTTCCCATCACTGTGCTCTTAGACATGTCTCTTTCTGTCACAGCAGGAAGGGACTAACCCCACACCAGGGAATGAGATCTTTGATGGTAGGTGATCTCTCCAGCAGAATGTGAAACACGCAGCACTCTCAGAGGTAACAACTATAAAGCTTTTATGATACTAAACAAAAATTTGTATCTTTATCCTTCAACATTTCAGGGGTTCCAAAGACTCAAATATTCCTTTTTCTTTTTTAGAGATTTTTACTATAGGGCGTTTGCACTCACTGGAGAGACAGAGAAACAGAGAGACAGAAAGCAAGAAATCACCCTCCGGGGGGATGACCATGCCTCAATCTACTTCCACTCCATTCTCCTCTCAGGATTTTGAGCACACATGCACACGTGCCTGGCATGAGTTTCAAGCCAACAAGCCTGGGACTCCAACCATAGTTGACTAGGTGAGAGTCCAGCAACATAACCATTATTCCATCTGCTGGTCCCACAGCTCTACTATTCTATTAAGGTTCGATAACTGAGCCGGATGCAGAAGCAATGTGAAGAAAGGAATCAGAGAGATGAAGGTGATGACAATATATGGCATAAGCATGTGGTTTTCCCTCATCTTTTGTCCCTCTGCTTCAAGACCGGCAAAGTCCCACATGAAGGCTGCTCTGTCAGCCTGAATCCCAGAGTGAAAAATGACATGAATCATGGCTGCAGCTGGCACACGACAGACCTGTACTATGAGCAGTAGCCTTTAAGATACAGAAGTCTTTTGTTGCCACTGTATAATCTATCCTGTCCTAACCAATACATATAACAAGATGTGTGTGTAGTTTAAGGCTGACCACGTCTTCTTTGACTTGAACCTCTTGAACCCAGCACAAGCACATAATAAACACTCAAGAAATATTGAATGAATGAAACCTTCCTGGATTTCATCTGTACAATAAGGGATTTGGAGTAGATGTTCTACAGGAATCTTCAAATGCTAGCATGCCATGATTTCTATAATTTCTAAAAAAATAAAAGGTTCTGTGTCTCCTTCTGATATACCCACATGGCAAAACCTCATATCAACCTGCATTTCCTTTCTCTTTTATTAAAAAGCCTGTGTACATGGTTGTATATGCTTATAGCACTGCAGAACTGCTTAAGCTTTTAAAAATCCTAGTGCAATCAGCCAGTACAGACCAGAAATTAAATACTAAAAATGCCTTCTCTAACTCTAAGTATTGTGACCCAGAATAATATCTCCCACCCATACCCACTATTGCTGCTGAGTTGGGCAAGTACACCTGCTGTTCACAAACCATCTGAAATTACCTCCAAGAAGGAATTGTTTTGAGAATGAGGCTTATAATTAAACAGTAATTGAAGTTTCCTGTGGTTTTAGGCATGGGTCTTATCTAATACCTAAGTAGATGAACTGCATGGTTTACAAGACAGAATGGAATTAGATGTTTCTACAAGTGAGAGGAGGTCTCTTCTTCATAAGAAGCTGGAATCCAAGAAGGTAAGGTGGTTTTCCTAGGGTCACAAGTAGAAAAGGGGATCCTCAAGGGGCTTACAATGTAAAGCTATGACGACTTGGGTGACTTATTGGATATAGGTTGTTAGGGAGAGAAAGGAGTAGAGGATGATTCCAAATATCCTCAGCTGGCAAATGGGAGGAATGATGAGGTAAAAAGAGAAAGAGCAAGTTTGAAGGAAATGAATTCAATTTGTCCCATGTTAAGTGTGAGATGTCCCTGTACAATCCAGAGATACCAAATGAATATTATAGATTCAAAGCTGAAGGGAAATGACTAAGATAAAGAGATATTATACATTTGGGCATCACCAGCCTCTCCAACCTGTCTGAAACTATTACAGAATGAGAAGGAAGAAAAGAAAAATCAGGAAAGGAGAGTAATGAGGACAGAGCTAGCAGAATGTCATTATCTAAGGGGTGGGGGCTGATAAAACTGAAAATAAATAAAAGAAAGAAGAGTTTATGATGTTGTCTACAAATGAGTGATCAGGAAGACAGGAAGAAAATCAGGATAGAACAGTGCAAGTAAAGGCAGAGGAGGAGAGGGTTTCAAGAAGAAAAATATGTTCAATAGTTATAGCACACACGGCTAGTTGTTTTCCCAATATTCATTCTCTCCTTTTTCCTTATTAACAAATGTCTGACTTTGCTTAATAGCAGCAATGAATCTGGTAAATAAATAAACAAACAAATGTGATTTCCCAGACTCCTTGGTAGCCCATATGACCTCCTTCTGACCAATAGAAGCAGATGCCTATCTACTTAGTGGGGCTGCCAGGAAAACCACTGGGCCATCTGAAAAGTCACGACACACTTTTGCATAGGAAAATCATCATGACTTTTCCAATGACTCAATATATTATTTCCCGATTCAACTAGACAGGCGTCTTTCTTTTGATCCTGACTTGTCCCTTTATTCCTTCCTAATGATTCTATGCCCAGGGTTGCAGCAGCTATCTAAAGAGCCTGAGTATAAAAGACCCAAAATAGATGATGTTGTGGAAAATGAGAGTCTGGTTCCAGGGCCACCTAGTTGATAGTGTAAGAAGCTTGAGCATCACACGTGGCCACTCCCTGCTCCTCATTTCCTTGTGCTCCAAGATATTCGAATCAACCCTTAAATAACCTTCAGACCTGCTTTCTTCTAACCACCCTGACTAGCCTGGCACTGTTAGGCCTGTTTCACATCTGCCCAGCTTACAGAACTGCCCTCCTGACAAGACTTCCCTTCTCCAATCTGTCCTATAACCTGCTATCACTGTCAGAAATGGAATATTTTTCCTTTGATCTCTGCCTAAAATACTTCCACCATTCTTCATTGCCTTGTGGATAAAGTCAGAATTCCTTCATTGTCCCACAAAGTCCTTTCTGGCTTGGCTCCTGCTTACATAATGAAAACACTGTTTCTGATCACACTCTGGACGTCTGTGCAGGAACCACTACCAAGCCCTGCGCTGGGAACTTGACACTTCCTCGATGCTCCCTCTTGTGTTTGGTTTGACTATTCTCATTTCACAGATAAGACTACTGATTCTCAGAGCCCTAAGTCACTTGCCCAAGACATAGCTAGTTTAAATGGGGGGGGGAGGGGAATCTAGATGGCAGAGTCCTTTCCAAGACAACGCCTTGACACGAAAGAATGTGCCCTTTACCATCCTGTTCCCCACCGCCTGCGTCCACCCAAACAAGCAGTCCTGTTGAAGACCACAGACAAAGCCAGTCTTGCCCCTAGGGCCTGAGGAATCCATTGCTGCTGCAGGCAAGGAAGTGGGAAGAAGACCTGGGTTCTCCGTGCCAACTTCAGCGAGAGAGGAGATTCAGAATAGCTCAGAGCTGGAGCAGCCTCGGAGGGCGATCGACCTGACCCACACCGTCAAGGCTCCTTCTCGCGAGTTGGGGCACAGGGATGGGAAGCAGGTGGCCCTTCTTCCTTTACCCCGGCCCACCTGGCTGGCACCTTGCCACTGTTGGACTGAGATTGGCGCTCCAGGACCACCCTCTCCGGGTCCGGAGCTGGAAGGCTCAGGCGCGGGCTGGGCGGGGCGGTCTCAGGTGACTTCTTCCAAGTTCTTGGCAAGACCCAGCCCGCATCGGTTAGCAATAACTCAGCCTGAGGCTCTCCTGGCGCGCTCCACGTCCCGGCAACTGCGCCGTTGCCACCCAGCGTTCAGACCGCGGTACTCCGGCCCCTGGCCCCTCGAGGGGTGCAACCCTCCGCACCCCAGCAGCAGCGAGGTTGAGAGAAGGGCTGTCAGGGAGCCCTCTGGAGTTGCTGTCAGTGTGATGTGTAACTGGAGAAGGGTCGGATCCGGGAGGGATCTCCTGCTGGCACTTAACCTCGGAATTTGAACCTAGGCTCAGACACCCCGACTAACTCTGTGGGCAAGCCGACCTGGATTCTGGTCTCCAGCCACCGGCATCCTAGCGCCCCAGACTCTGCCCGCACGCACGGGAGCCGGCCCAGCCACCCTGCCCAGCTGTCCCGGGCTGCGGTGGAACGCGCCCGCTGCTCCAGGCAGCCCCGACGAAACCCCCGGGTGGCTTTTTCCCGGGGTCTGACCCCCTCGCGCCCCCGCGCGTCCTTCCTTGTTTCTCAGCTCGCTCTGAACGTGATGTAACGAGGCCAGGCTCGCGCAGCTTTCCCTCCTTCCCAGACTGAAGTCCTTCCTCTCGCCCGCGCTCGGCGCTGTGCGCGCACGGAGGGCGCTGGGCTGCGCCGCTCGGCTGCCAGAGTCCGCGGACCGACGGGCGCTGCTGGGAAAGACGCTCTCCCACGTCCCACCTCCTGGATGCGGAGCAGTGGGGGAACCAGACTTCCCTCCCAGAACCAAGGCAGCCAGCCGGGGGGCAGCTGCGGTGGAGGTTTCTGAGGAGACTCACTGGCTTCTTTCCCGGCTCCCTGGAGACGGCAGGAAAACTCAGGTACCTCGGTGGGTGACCCCGGCATGTGCATGTTTGTATGAGAGCGACAGAGGTGGCATAGTGAGAGAGAGAGGGAGGGAGAGAGGGGGAGAAATTGGAAGAGAAGCAGTGGGAGAGATAGAAACTGAGGGAGAGAGATTGCAAGAGAAAGAGGGAGAGATAGACATAGAGAAATAGGTTGCAAAAGAAACAGGGAGAAATAGAAACAGAAAGGGAGAGATTGCAAGAGAAGGGGGGGGGAGATTGCAAAAGAGACAGAGACCAAATTGAAAGACGGTTGAAGACAAAGAGCAGAAGAGAGCCAGAGTTGGCATGTGGGAACTTGACTTGGATTTCTGGTTAACCCGCTGTGGTTTCACCTTACAGAGGAGAGGCATACCCATCCCTGGCCAGCAAGCAGCCCCCAATCTGGATGGAGTAAAAGATGCGGCCTGATGACATTAACCCGAGGACTGGGCTGGTTGTGGCCCTGGTCAGCGTCTTCTTGGTCTTTGGTTTCATGTTCACTGTCTCTGGAATGAAAGGGGAGACTCTGGGAAACATCCCTCTCCTGGCCATCGGGCCAGCCATCTGCCTACCAGGCATCGCAGCCATTGCCCTTGCGAGGAAAACGGAAGGATGCACCAAGTGGCCGGAGAACGAGCTACTGTGGGTCCGCAAATTGCCCTGCTTCCGGAAACCCAAGGACAAGGAGGTGGTGGAACTGCTGAGGACCCCTTCTGACCTGGAGTCCGGCAAGGGGAGCTCAGATGAGCTGGCTAAGAAGGCAGGTCTCAGGGGGAAGGCTCTCCCACAGGGGCAGGGTGAGGCGCCTGTGGCCAGCTCCGTCACCACCCCTACACCCACGGAGGAAGGAGAATGCCAGAGCCTGGTCCAGAGCGGACATCAGGAGGAGACGTCCCGATACCTCGATGGCTACTGTCCCTCAGCCAGTTCCCTCGCCTACAGTGCCTTGGATGCCAAGTGCTCCGCCTGGGACAGATCCGAGTGCCCTGAGCCCGAGGACAGCATCTTCTTTGTGCCCCAGGACAGTATCATCGTTTGCTCCTACAAGCAGAACAGCCCCTATGACAGATACTGTTGTTACATCAATCAGAGCCAAGGCAGGTGGGACCACGAAACTATAGTCTAAGCTGTGCATAAAGGTGGCTGTGCTGATAGAAACATGACCACTTGGCTCCCCATGGATGGAAATTGCTCTGCTCCAACAGTCTTCACATTGTTAGAAATTGTCCTGGTATGTGAGGGGCGTGCAAACCTCCAGTGCCTGAGAGTCATGTAAATAGGCATGTTGGGGACACATTCTAGGGCTGGGTGATGAGGGTTAAGAACACTGGAAGAGGCAGTAAGTAGGAAAGAAAGCAGTTCCAATTGCTTAATTTAAACAATGTTGAATGTTTTATAACATAACCCCAAAAGTGCTATCCAGCACCTGCTGAAAGCAAGGTAAATCCAGAGTGTTCTGCAGATGCCAGGCACCAGGTGACAGAAGGGCTAGCCACAGGGTCACAGGACTGCTTTATGGCTGAAGAAATGGGGGAAAATGCAATGCTCTGCTATATGAAATGATCTTTGGTGAAAAACCTTCCACTGTTAGTATTTTCTAAAAGAAAGAAAAACCAAGCTAAAATAGTTAAACCCTCCTTAGATGGGATGGTATTTAAGAAAAGGGAAGTTAAAGACAGTTGAATTATGTAATTGAGTTTTATGGCATTATCCTCTGACAAGATCTTGATTTCAAAATCAGTAAAAAAAAAAGTGTGACCAGCTAGGTTTAAAAAATTAACATCTTTAAATGACTATGTTACTTTATAAACTCTTCATTTAAATGGATGCACTGAGTATCTGATTTTTTAAAACATTTACTATCATTCATGTATGATTTCCTCACCAGGCGCAAAATGAATTGATGTCCTATTTTCACAGATTAGAATTTGTTTTCATCCAGACAAAAATGAAGTTTACATATACATGTAAATGTCTTTACCATTTCTGGGAGATGTATACTTTTCATTACTATTCCTATATGCCTTTTAAGACCTAAAATTATGAAGTCTAGACGTTAGTCCCAAATATTGTACAGCATTTGTATGACATGCAGTGTTTAACTCCTTAGAAGTATCATATTTGTACATTTGTTCAACACCCCACAGACTGTAAGTGCCAGTAAAACAGGCATTAACCTACCACATTTAACTGAAGCCCAGATTTCTATTAAGTTCACCTGAGCAGTGACCATTACATGGTAAAGTCTCCTTATTCCATGGTTCTTTGCTACTGAAGGAAAAAACTCACAATGCTCAACTGAAATAGATAAGAGTGCAATCAACTGGAATACCATTTGACCCCTGTTGCAGGAAGAGACTGAATTACATATTGGAATGATGATAGATTTAATCTTGAAGATCAGGATTATTTTGTATCCTTCGAAGAATGATGATTTTCAATGATTAGATAGTTTTAGCCACTTTCCCCTAAAAGGGAAATTAAGGACAAAAATTCTAGGCATACTTAAGAGTAGCAATTGTCCTGTCTTAAAAAATCATGCTTTTAAAAAAAAAAAGTCACAATTTTCAAATCAAATTTGGGATCAAAAGTAATTTTTTAGTGCGCTTAAATATATTTTAAAAATTAGATGTGTAATCCTGGGCAAATTTTATCTTTTCACATTTCAGTTTCCTACTCTTTTGGAGGAATGGAGGGAAACTGATTTACACTAGATTATTTCTATCATTTATTCCCAGTTTGAATATTCTGTGATATTATGTCAAAAAAACTTTACATGTTGCCAAGAAATGTTACAGCAAAATGCATTACAAAGTTATGCAATACATGATAAAAAATCATGTGACATGGATTGAACTGCTACTACTCAAAAGAATTTTGTAGATTTATGAAAGCAGATGTGTTTAATTGCCCAATATTATTTATTCAACATAGTGCATTCTGGGAATAAAATAAAGATGTTAGTATTGAAATATTTTTGAGAAATTTTTAAATGTTGATATAGCCCAAAGTAATTTAATATACAACCTTGCACTAAATGTAATCGACTTTGGATTTGGGATGGGGACAGATATTTTCCTAAAACCACAGTACCTTTTAATATTTCTAATGCCTTTTGGAAGTAGAAAACAATATTTCTATAGGGGTAAAAATGATCCAATAACTCTTAGTAATAAAAACTTATTCTTATGTATTTGCCACTGTGGACATCTCGAGAGGTAAAGAGATGGTGAGACCAAGAGATGACCATAGAGACTTAGCAAGTTTTACACAGAGTCTAAAAAGAGATACTTTTAGTGTTAGGTATTTGGTGGGGGGAGAGGGGGGTGAAAAAGTTACTTTCTGAATTTTTGGAACCAGCTTGTAATGCACACACACACACACACACACAAAACACTCCAATTTTCAAATCGAGGGTCAACTAGTTTAGAGACGTAAGGTATTTTTATCATACGTTGAGGTCTATTTTAGGCTTCTTCCATCTACTTACTTCAGATATGTAAGGTATCTCAGGCATATAAGAGAATGTTTTCCTATACTAAAATAATAGTTTGCAAATGTTGGACTGGGAGGTTCAACTTTGTTTGAACAGAAGGAATAAAATGTATGATTGTGTCTGTAAATTTTTCTTAACATCTTATATTAAGCAGCTCCTTTTTATATGCAACAAGGTAGCCTAGTATCCCGAATCAACACTTGACGGTACTATTCAGGGTAAAACTTGTTCTGTTAAGCAGAGCTAGGAGGGAAAAAAAGTGAGTCAACCCTTTAGAGGAAAAGAGAGCAGCTTATTACAATCAACAGTTTTAAAAAGTTCATATATTAGCCATGAGGATTGTTCTTGGTAGACTTTAAAAGTGTCTGGACAGATATAAATATAAGTAGACATTCGTTTCCTTTGTTTTGATGTCAATCCAAATAGTTATTTCAGCTTGATTTTTAAATAGGCATTTTATTTTTGAAATTTCTCTATTGAGTGTCTCTTGCTCTATATTTCTACTTATTATGCACATGGGTTCTTTTTCCAACTGTTTCTTAAATTCTAAGTGTGAATTCAGCCAAGATATCCATGCTGGGACACTCCAGAAGATGGGTTCAAGGTTTATTTTCTATTGCAATCGTTTTGACAAACAAAATTCAGACCAAACAGTTAAGTTTGGTCTTTTCCAAACCCTACCAGCAAGCGCCCTTGAAAATGTTTTCAGTACTGTGGATCTTAATATCCACTGAGGTGGCAAATGTAGGAAATGAAGATTTCTTCTTTTACATGTTTTCTTCCCTTTTACAGTTTTTCCTTATCTATTAATATTACTCCTCTGCACTCACAGCATCATTTACTTGATGAGTTCACTATTATTACTATTATTATTTTACCACATTAGAGGAAAATATATTTTTAAAGCTACACAGATCCCTCCAACCTAACTGATGTTCTTTTACATCCATTTATTTCTTTTTTTAAAAAAAAAAAGTTTATTTTTGAAAAGTTTCTTTCTTTCCTCTGTAAGTGAGAGGGACAGAAAGCGATAGAGACAGAGGCAGAAAGACAGACACCCTCAATATGGCCTTTCACATGAAGCTACGATATACCCTCAGTCTCAGCCAGTCCAGGACAATAGGCACATGCACACTCAGCATGTCCAGGGTGGTCTCTGGGCATGAACTCAAAACCTGGAACCTTCCCATGTGGGTCAATCTCAGAACGTTGGATTACCACTGCAGCACCGTCCAGCCCCTGCAAACGAATGTAATTCTGTTTTGGTATTTCATCTTCTAGGCCTCCTCCATACACATATGCAGCCTTCGTATTATAATAGTATCATTTTATTTTCTCTTTTAATTACATCTTAAGCATGTTTCCATGTTTCTAGGATTCCTAATAATCAGTTAACAATGGTGTAATATACTACTTGAGCAATGAGTCATAATTTATCGTCGCCATTCCTTATTGCTGGCCAAATATAAGGCTTTGTATGTTCTTTTTCTATAGTTGGTAACACTGCTACATGATTTGTTATGAGCCCATGGAGATGGAAATTTACAACTGAAAAGCTGTTTCCTTAGAGGAGAGAGGAGGCAGAAACGTGTCAGTGAATCCAACTCTCCAGATTGTTGTTTGGATCTTCTCATCGCTCGTGTGGATATAAGACATAGGGTGGGAGACAAAATAATGCTTCTTCAAAAAGTCCTCCCACCAAGGCCATGATTGGTATTTTTAAGAGTAAGATGAAAGATTTCCTCAGTTAAGATACTAGCAGTGTGTTTCTCAAGATCAGAATACAGAGGTGTCAGTCTCCAACAGCATACTGTTCAACAAGCAAAATGATAAACAAACTTAAACAACAAAAATTACTTTGTGATATTCCAAACCGTTTTCTTAAAGCACCTCACCATATATTTTATACTTCCTATGTATGTGCATTGTTATCTATTAGTGGCTTACCGATGAACTGGAATTTAAGGAATTCAACAGACTCTGTCCCTGAGTTTTCTGTTTCAGTTCCTTACTGAGAAAATACTAAACTGAGGATGAAAATGTGGAAAATGCTTGGCTCAACCAAATATCTCAATAAAGGACTGAATTCCAGCCTGTCTCTTGTCCCATTCCCACAAAATCATATAAATACTATTGAGTCTGAGATCGTGTCTTTGACTTCTCACCATCGACCAGAGTCCTCACGCTAAATGCACCCATTAGAGAGGTGATACATCACTCTGCCCACATACATGAACCAGTGGGCACTGACATTAGCTCTCCACAGCCTGTGGTGTGTTGTTCTTAGGTCTGACTTATTAGAACTCCTTTTTCTATTTTTCTTTACTCCTCCTCCTGACCTCAGATCAGGCCTTCAGTGTAGTATGCTTAGTGACAATATATGAGGCTTTGCATGCTTCATACCTAATAAGGTGCGAAGGAGTTACAGAACAGACCAGTTACAAAATGAGACAGAAAGCTATTCAAACCTCTTGTGCTGCTCTTTCACAAATCTAGCCCTAGAAAATTAAATACAAAAGGTAGTGTTTAAATAATCGCTTTCTTATTTTTCATGGAAATGAACTATTGTATATAAGACAATTCTTCAATTTGAGGTAACACCACATATTTTTAAAGTTTATTTCTTTCTTTCATGAGTAAGAGACACAGAGGGAGATACAGAAATAGAGAGACAGGCATCCCTAACAGGGTTCCCATGTAGCAATCTACCCACTGCCTCAATCAGCCCTGAATCATGGGCACATGTTCACCCTCCCCGATCAGGAAGGTCTCCAACAGTGAACCCAGAACCTTTCCATGTGGGCTAGCCTTACAGAATGTTAGTTATTGAGGTCCCACTATTTGGTCCCCACATTTCCCTGAGGGAAAAACAAACAAACAAAAAGCAAGCAAACAAACAAACAAATAGACTTTTGAAAATCACTTGACTATAATTCAACATGAAAAGTATGAACAACGTCCTTGTATGTAAATGATTAGACCTCAGACCAACCCAGAAAGGCCCACTCTGCCCCTGTGCTCTTCCATCCCCACCTCCCACCCTTTGCAGCAGCCTCTTGGCTATTCCTGATCTTGCCCTGCAGCTGACCACCCTGAGTCTTCTGCCTCAAATGCCTGCCCTGTCTTCACTCCTGTGCTGCTTAACACCTAACATCCTTCAAGGGGTAGCTGCTGCATCTTTAACAATTTTCTGGATTGTTTCACTCAGAACGAATACTTCAATTATTCTCTGGTCTGATAACACCCTCTACTATTATTGTA